CATTTTTAAAAGTTAAGTCAACAGCTGACAGAACTGCATCTGGTTCAACATTTGGAAATAGCATCTCTTGCAGGGGGATTAAACCAACAGTATTTTGTTAATAGGAGATCGCTAAGTATTTCTTAAAAGGATAGCCCTCAAGAACATCTTCATCAGAATCCCTGGCAAGTTAGTTAAAGATGTAGTTTTCCCCAGAATTATTGAAACAGACTTTAAAAATCGTTACCCACATTGAGCAATACTTTGACATGAAGACTGGGTGTCTGTTTTATGAAATTCTGTTTTCCACACCACTTTTCTCTTTCACGTTTTAAACTGCTGGTCTTGGCCTACTAAAGTGATACCATGATCCACTCATGGGTTACAACCCTAAGCTTAAAAAATATTTCTCTGTTTGATTAGAAGGAACCAGAACTAGAGTTGCACAATTAGTAGCAAACACTCCAGGCTTTGTGATGCAGAGAAGGTTTATTAATCCACCACATTTTCCAAATTCAGTAGAATGTCTTATAAACCAAATTATCTACTTGGATGGTTTCAGGCACCAAAAAGCGTTTACCAGCTTGAGCTACAAACCTTAATGGTATCCACTGTCTTAGATCTAGAAGGGAAATGTTACCTCCATAGGAATGATCACCTTTAACCCTTGAGCATTAGGCAAGATGATGAAGTAAGCAAAGTGTGTGATCAGGTGAGCTCCTTGCCTCACCCCCAGCCACATCCTCTGGCAAAGACTCCAAAGCCCTTTCCCCACCCTCCCCACCCACTCACACCAAACACCCAAAGGGGGTAAATTACTTTGAAACACTCAAGTATTACCTTCTTTTCAATACAGTAATTTAGTAAATGTTCAAGACTTAGCTGCACCTGCAGAAGACCTTCATGTTTTCTCACTTTCATTTTTCTTCTCCTAGGCATTTCTCATCTCCCCTGCATCTGCCACACAGTCTCCCTTACAGCCTCCTGTCTTCACTTCCATATCCTAGGAGAGCAGAATGGGATACAGTAGATGCCTCTGACTTCAATCCCCTTACAATAATGCCCTTCTTCCTAGGCGAAAGCAACACAGACTTCTTTAAAAGACCTTCTCCAAGGAGAGTGATGAAACACCAGATCTGGAATGGTTATGTGGGTTTTTTGTTTTGTTTTGTTTGTTTTTGTTTTTGTGTTTTTTTGTGTGTGTGTGGTTTTTTTTTTTTGAGACAGAGTCTTGCTCTGTCGCCCAGGCTGGAGTGCAGTGGCAAGATCTGGGCTCACTGCAAGCTCCGCCTCCAGGGTTCACACCATTCTCCTGCCTCAGCCTCCCGAGTAGCTGGGACTACAGGCACCCGACACCAGGCCCAGCTAGTTTTTTGTATTTTGCTTAGTAGAGACGGGGTTTCACTGTGTTAGCCAGGATGGTCTCAATCTCAATCCACCCGCCTCGGCCTCCCAAAGTGCTGGGATTACAGGCGTGAGCCACCACGCCCAGCTGGTTATGTGTTATTAAGTGCACTGGTTGTGTAATCTCTCAAGGAATCACCCCTCTGTTCCTTTCTTCAGGCTGAAAAGGGGAGGAGTCTACTCGAGGCAGAACAGGGTCTAAAAGAAGAGTGGCTTGGCATGGGGGAAAGGACGGGGGAGAAAACAAAAGCCCATTACCTGGGCTTCTCACTTGCACTAATGCTGCAACATTTTCCTGGTATATTTCCCTGGTGGATCTCTCCCAATATAGCCACCTCTCCTTTAGTCAGTCTACAAACACTTATTGAGCACTGAAGTCATGCTAAGAATCCATCTAAGTTCTGGAGCTGTAAACAAGACAAGGTAATCACTACCCTCATTGAACTTCTGCTCTAACAGGGAGAGAGACAATACTCAAATACACAAATGACTGTATAATGCCAGGGAGTAAAAAGTACTAAGACAAAAAACTGAGTAACATAAGAGGCCCAGGGAATGTCTGGCTGCTATTTTATATGGGGTAGCCAGGGAAGGCCCCCTATAAGCTGACAGCTGGGCAAACACCTGAAGGAAGCAGGGGAAGTCAGTCATCTGGACATGTGGGAGGAAAGCTCCTCCTGTAATTTCATGGGCAAAGGCCCTAGGGAGAGAACTCAGTGAAAAAGAAGAATGTGAGACGGTGAGGGTGCCTGCAGTTACCAAGGACAGTAAGCATGGCCATCACTAGAACTGCCCATCTTCTTGCCCAATGACTGCTCCAGGCCCTGAGTTTCCCCAGACTCCCATCCGGGTCTGCCTCCCAGCCTGCCCCTCCCTGATACCTACCATACTTCTTGTTCTCCAGTTCAGTACCCTCCTGACACAACCCCTCCCCAAGAGTCACAGCAGTCCAGGTCATTTCCTCACAATTTACCAACCTAATAAAAACAAACAAACAAAACAGAGTAGAAAAAAGGCAGCATCCACATTTAACCACAGCCTTCCAGAGATAGGAAATGTACAACAGTAAAGAGTAAAGCTTCAAAAGGTCAGCTATAAGAAAAATTAAAAGTATGCGATGTGTCTGCAGGGGATCTGGCCTCCTAACTTGCCATTATTTTCCCCCAGATCTATAAATCGGGGGACAATAATCCTTGAAACAACCTTGGAAAGTAGGCATGGAGGTGAGATAATGTGAGAACCCAGAGGAGAACCTGAGAACCCAGAGATAATATGGGGCCAGAGGAGACAACAATAACAGCTGCTGCCAGTCTTTGCAATCTCAAAGTGATTCTGAGAAGGATTATATCCCTCTATGTCCCAAAGTTGGTCGCAGGGTTTTGGTATGTAAATACAGGTCATTAATTACCTTTATAGAAGCAAAAAAGAAACACTCAGATATTCTTCCACAGCCTCATCCCCAAGTCACCGGCCGCGCCCAACAGGGAGCCTCCGCCTCTGGAGGCCCCATCCCCTGCCTTAGGTTATCTAAAATCTTAACCATAAAGAATTAGGCCCAAATCATTCACGGCCAACGCAGTTGGGAAGCCCATGATCCAGCGCGAGGGGCATCCCAAATACGTTCACTGGGTCTCGGGGGCCGTCCAGGGGCTCTCAGAGCTGGGTCACTACCTGGGACCAAGCCTGAGTCTGGTCCTTTAGGTCAAGGCAGGTCCCGTCCCGCCTCCAACTTCAAATCGCCCCCTAGGCTGGAGAGGGTCACTGGGCGGGTAGTTCCTGGCTGTGCGGTAACACTTACACACACACACCGACAACACCCCCCCCACACCGACAACACCCACCCCCCACACACACACATTTACACACACCGATGACACACCACACACACATACATACGCGCGCACACACACGCGCGCGCGCACTCACATACACACACACACACACACACACACACACACACACACACACACACACACGCCACCTCGCGCGCGCTCGCGGCACAGCACCGATTTCCCAATCCCAAACACACGCGCGCACCCCCGGGACAGCTGAGTTCTGTATTTCCTCTTCCTCAAAGAGACTCCGGCGATCGCGGTTGCCACTCTCCGCTCCGATTCCCGGGCCCCCGGCATGCCGCCGCCCCCTTCTCTGAAGGCGCGCCCGGTGCATCCCCTCTCCGAAGCTGAGATTTCCACGAAGCTCCACAAAGCCCCCCGCCGCCTCTCCCGGTCTCGGCGGAGACCCCGGTGTGTCCCTGGGAGGAGAGTATTTACAACCAGAGCCTCCGGGGCTCCCGGCTGCCCAGACCGCCCTCTCCGGCCCTCCTGGCCCCCATCCCTCTGGCCCATCACCGCCTCCTCCCACGAGCGCACTCCCACCTCCGGTCAGCGTACGGCACCGCTACCGCGACCTATAATTTTAGCCTGCGACCCTGTGCAACATACTCGGACACTACATACCCGGCCCGGCCCGGGGACAACCGGGACCTTACCGCTTCATCCACACGGGCGCCGCACCTCCACGCCTCCCTCTGCCTCCGCCCCACTCACCCACTTGACCTGCCGCCCCCGAGCTCAGACTTCCACATGCAGAGCGCCACCACGCGCCACACAGCTTTCCACTCCCGCGCGGCGGCCCCCCTGCCCAACGCGGGCCCACAACAGAGAAACGGATCTTTCGGGTCTCGTACAACAACCTGACAGACTGTGCACCTCCCGGCCATGTCCGGCACACCCACACACAAGCAGCGCCGGAGAACAAAACAGGGGCGCGGCCCAGCCAGGAAACTTTACAGAACCTGCTTGGGGTCGCAGGAACAGCAGGCA